GATATGCAGATGATACCACTCTGATGGCAGAAAGTGAGGAGGAATTAACAAACCTCTTAATGAGGGTGAAAGAGGAGAGTGCAAAAAACGGTCTGAAGCTCAACATCAAAAAAACCAAGATCATGGCCACTGGTCCCATCACCTCCTGGCAAATAGAAGGGGAAGATATGGAGGCAGTGACAGATTTTATTTTCTTGGGCTCCATAATCACTGCAGATGATGACAGCAGCCATGAAATTAAAACACACCTACTTCTTGGGAGGAAAGCGATGACAAACCTCAACAGCATTTTAAAAAGCAGAGACATCACCTTGCCAACAAAAGTCCGCATAGTCAAAGCTATGGTTTTTCCACAGCGGTGTATAGAAGTGAGAGCTGGACCATAAAGAAGGCTGACCACTGAAGAATTGATGCTTTTGAATTGTGTTGCTGGAGGAGACTCTTGAGAGTCTCCTGGACTCTAAGGAGAACAAATGTATCCATTCTGAAGGAAATCAACCCTGAGTGCTCACTGGAAGGACAGATCCTGAAGTTGAGGCTCCAATACTTTGGCCATCTCATGAGAAGAGAAGAATCCTTGGAAAAGACCTTGATGTTAGGAAAGTGTGAAGGCAAGAGGAGAAGGGGACGACAGGGGATGAGATGGACAGTGTCATCGAAGCGACCAACATGACTTTGACCAAACTCCAGGAGGCAGTGAAAGACAGGAGAGCCTGGTGTGCTCTGGTCCATGGGGTCATGAAGAGTCGGACACAAATTAACGACTAAACAACTGCAGTTAAGACTCTGCTCAAGACCTAAATTCAGTCTCAGCAGACTCAGGTAGTTGTCTCAAGGCTGACTCAGCTTTCTATACTTCAGTAAATTGAGTACCCAGCTCACTGAGGGGGGCAATGTGTAGCCTGCATAATTACACTGGAAACTGCCTAGAGAATGCTTTAAGGGCTGTCTGGTAGTATATAAGCAGCACTCTTTGCTTATTTTTTGTTGCTTTGCTTTACTCAATCCTTTCCCCTCCTATGTCTTGGGTAAGATTACCCTGCAAAGGAAATAGATCCAGTTTCTCTTTTCCAGATTGTTTGGTAGCAATTACCTCCAGATTTCTCTGTCTTTTGGTTATTATATCTGCATAGCTGAAGATGAGAAGGCCCCACATCTAAAGCATATGTGAGCATCTCCCAGTGTGAATCAGACCTAGTTTAAATCAGAGCAGCTAAAATCATCCTGAATCATTTGTAGAGTCAGTCTCCTAAAGCCTAAATGGTTTATCTCACCCACTCATTACTTATTTGCCAGTAAGTGAGAAACCCTGTCTTTATTACTTGATTTAATCCAGCTTTGCAAACTTCTGTAGACTGGGGGTCAGCTCCCATATTGAATAGCTGAGATTCAGGTTATTAAATCTACATACATTTTCTCACTTTAAGTTGATATCAGCACACTGGTTTCCACTTTCAGATAAGTCCTGTAAAATTGCTGTTCCCTTTTCCATTGATCAGTAGGGATAAAATTGATATTTACTCAATTCCTTCTCTTTAATTAGGTTTAGGAATTTAAAATTAATCCATCCTCCTTTGAATTAAGGAAACATGGTACCCCCTTTTTTAATAAAAGGAAGAGTTATTTCTCTTGTAAACACTGGAGAATTAAATTGAAAATGTTTTGTTTTAATCTTAAGCGCTTAGTATACTTCTAGGTAACATCAATAATGACTTGTGATCATTTTGTACACACATATTAATGTTTCTGTCATGTGGTATCCCTTTTGATACTTGAATTTTATAACAGTTTTAAGAAGATCAGAAAAATAAATGCATGCTCATTACACATGGGTTTGATTGATCTTATGCACTGATACAGATTTCCAAATTTGATTTATTAGGGGCAAAAATATCTGTGGTAAGCAATTCTGTATGATTTCACGAACCAGAGGTGTCTTGTCCTTTGCCTGATAATTTGTACAAAACTGATTTGAACTTGAACTGAATAAAACTCTATTAGATGTTATAGAGTTTTTGAGAATCTTTAAAATGCACAGGAAAAGGGATACTGCATCTCTTGAATAGCAAATCCTTTTTTTAAAAAAATGTTGAAATATTTCCAAATGAACATTATTTATTTTCATTTACTTCCCATTTTTTAAAGCTAAACATGCTTACATCAGCATTTCTAGTTCTAAACTTAAAAGAAGAAGAAGAAGAAGCTGTGTGTGTATAAATAATTGTAATATACACACACATCTCCTGCAGAGAGGCCAGAGCATAGTGCATTTCCTGTACAGGGTGTTGCGAAAAATGCTTACACCTGTATACCTGTACTAGCCATCTTAGTTGTTTGCGAACCCCGCTCTGCCACAACAAACCTTTGAGTTTGTACCTGAAAGTCAAAAGGAGAGAGAAGAAGGAATGAGAGCACAAGACCTGTACACAGCTGTTCTGTATGTCATGACATTTAGATAAGTTATCAGTCATCACATTTATGCCGAACTGCATGTTGAAAATACATAACCCATTTAATTTCCATTTTTTTCGCAATAAATGAAGTGTCAGCATGTCATTTTTCTCTAGTGGATCTTTCTAATACTGAAATCATTTTATATGCTAACGTACTTTTTTTTAATTGCATGGCACCTTGAGGTTAATCAGTGCATGAACAAGTTTGTAATGCTAACCAAGAAAACATGAATTTTTAATTTTTTTTAAACGCACATTTCTCTGCTTTATTGAATGTGACAGTGTCACGCTTTTCATTCACCATTGCTTCTCTTTTTCCACTGTCTGTGATTTGCTTGCCAGGAGGAGCTACTATTCTTACTCCTACTACCTGTAAGTAGAAATGGGTGACTTACTTATTTACATGTTTTGAAGATGCAGTATCCCTTTTCACCACAAAAAAGAGGTGAAAAAATAGTTTGCTAAAATTCCCCATACAGCATTGGTTTTCTTAGGAAATGAACATTTCTATTTTATTTTTAAGGTGATATTTATTGTACTCTTATTGATTGTACATATATATTATATATCTCTTCCTTTACTGCTTTCTGTTTTATTTTCATATCACCACAACTTAATTTTCAGTCTAGAATCAATCTTAGCATCCCTTCCAAGAAGATTTTATGTTCTAGGTAGACTTTTATTTAAAATGGGACGACCCAACCGATCCCTGCTTTGAGGAACCATAAAGCTTTTCTACAAAACAAAATCTACATTTTTCCTTTTAGTATGCACCATCCAGGAAAGAAGCAAGCAGCTTCTTTACATAGTTAGAAAGAAGCAGGAATAGTCTGTGTGGTCTCCAAAATTACACAAATGAAGTTTTTTTTTTTTTATTTGACTACTATAAATTTAAACAGATAACAAGCTGCCATGAATGAAAACCACTTCCTCAGGCTAAGTGCACCTTTTTCACAAAGAGTGCAGAAAAGGTGTAGACAAGAGTCCAACAACAGATTATATGTCAAGAAGACCTGGATCATCTCTCAAAGACATGTATCGTCAGTTTTTGGACTCTTGTCTACATTTTTCTCCAGTATCTATGAAGGAGATGTGCTTAGCTTGAAGAAGTGGATTTTTTCCATGAAAGCTTTTAATTTAACTTTTTAGTGGCCCAATAAAAGTCATCACTCTCTCTTGCATTTGTGTAAGCAGCTTTCTGTTTCCTTAGGTCAGGGGTGGACAGTTTTCAAAGACAGAGGTCTACACAGACCCTTCCTTGGACGTTGGAGGACCATAGCCACTCCCATGACCCTCCACCCTTTTTTTTCCTTACAAAAATGGGTGACTACTTTTTTTTAAAGCCCCTTTTGGCTCTCCAGTGGCTTTGTGTTTTTTTTCAATGGGGGAGAGGAAGCTGCAGATATTCCAGGCAATCCCAAAGTATGGGAAAAGTGCCGGGTACATCTGAGAGGAGAAGGGGACTTTTTTGAGTCAAAAAGAATATGAGCATATTGGGGGTGCTGGGGGCCGCATAGGCCCATATTGCTTGCCATATTAAGATTGGACTTCATCTTCCTCCAGTAGACACCATTTGTGGTTCACTGTGGTTGGTGCAGGTTCAAAACATTCAACTCACACATTTGAAACTAGTTTTGGCCACTTTTCTAGGCATGAAATGAAAGGAGGTGCCTTCTTTTCTTTGCCTATCCACCCTCTACCTTTTTTGTTAGCTTCATCTCTAACTTTTTTGCTATCAGATTATCCACATGAAGTTGTGGTTTATTACATCCACCAGTGAAGAAGAATGCAGTGAGAGATGGGAGTACAAGCTGGCCTTCTCTCATCCAATGGCAAAAACACATAGGCCAGTCAAGACATTTTGTTTCTTCCTGTTCCCACCCACCATCATCATTCAGTGGTCCTCATGAGTGTTGAAGGGGACTCTCCGCTTCAGTCCAGCCATCTCTCATCACAGCAGTGTGTGAAGTACCCTCAGATGTCCTCAAACGCCATTACTGATAACAGCACATGTCAATGAGAGTTAACATTCTCGTGATGTATTCCTTGTAAGACTTTAAGTGCTATTGGCTTTTTAGTTTGTCTTTACCAAAAACTTGGCTGCAAGATTTAGGTTGACTGAATCTCAGAACTCCACTTAAAATCCTGGAGGATTTGTATGATGTATTATAAAAGTGGTGCTTCAAAAGAGGGTTTAGTGAAATGAAGAGGTGGGATGCATTATTCTTCCTCTCCTTCCCCACCCTGAGGTAGTATTTAGACTGGGAAGCAGTCTAAATGAGAGCTTTAATGTATGGGGTCTGGGGGTGGGTGGGTAAGGCATCAGAACTGTAAATGCCTTCGAGAATGTGACAGGATTACAAAGCAGCAGTAAATTTCCTGTATTTTTAGTTCTTGCTATTCTGTTTTTACACATGTAAAAACCATTGACACTTATAACTCTAAAAATAGTCAGTGTTAATTTTTAAGCCATGTGCCACAGATCATGGTGAGAACTGGGTGAACAGAGCACCATTTGAAAAGCTTCAGGCTCATACATACATGTACCATAGGGGTCACAACCACAAAACGGATTTTATCACATGTGCTGTACATGCCAAGTGAGGTGATAGGCACATTTTGGCACTTAGTTCCCAAATACATCGAGCAATAGCCTGTACACCAGCATCACTTTGTTAATTCCTCCATATGGACACACACACCAGAATAAAGATAATGGGGAAGTACTTGGCTTTAATAGTAGGCTGCAATGTTATTTACTATACAAAGTTTTGCAATATAAATTTCTAAGTATTCTTAACTCCATCCTGCCAAGGAATGCTTAGCTGTTTCTTAAAATGAGAGCTTGGAGATTGCTCTTCCTCTGTCAATGTTAAACTGGTGAGCTGATCATGGTTAAAAGTACCAGGTTAGTTAGCTAAGCATTCTACAATGTTCCCTATTTGCTCATCCTAATGGGTGTACTGAGAGGGAGGCTCACAGCTTCATCATGCCCCTCCTTGATACTCTTGGATGAGACGGACTGCCTGCAGCTTCAGGATAGGGTCCATAACCTGCACTCTTTGTTAGGACAGCAGTGAGATGTGACTTAATCAATCTGTCCCAATTAAGATGCTGCAGGGCAGCCAACAGTACAGCTTGCTTTGAGTTCCCTCTCAACCTTCACTAAGACCCTGTGGCACCTTCAGCTGCCAACACCATGCACATTGTTGGAACTGTGATGATTTTCCTTTCCATACCTGTTGCTGGCTTTAGCAATTGAGAGCTAGGGGGACATTCTGCCATACATTTCCATAAGGCTGTGGTGCTGGAAGATGCTCTAGCACAGTGGTCCCCAACCTTGGGCCTCCAGATGTTCTTGGACTTCAACTCCCAGAAACCTCAGCCAGCACAACTCGTGGTGAAGGCTGCTTGGAGCTGTAGTCCAAGAAGATCTGGAGGCCCAAGGTTGGGGACCATGGCTCTAGCACCCTCCTGCATCATACAGAGCTGCTGGCATCAACTGGAGCAGAAGCAACAAATCCAGCAGTCACCACTAAATCTCAGTGGCCGATGTGCATCTACAAAGTAAGTGGTAATCAGGGAGGACTGGTATGCCCCCCCACCATCTCAGAAGCTCCAGGGATGTTTAGCATGCCCTTCAGGCCCCAGAGGTTGTGACCCCAGTAAGAGTGAGCAACGATCAGCCTGAGAATGCCTGATATGTACGAGCACTCTTTCCACACTGGCTTTCCTTCTTCACCTTTGTCTTCTACTTTTTTTCACTAAACCATCCTGTTCACACTTCCAAAACAGTTCTTCAAAGATTGCCAAACACAGTAGTACAGTATGTGTTCTTAGCGAATGCACCTCACTATCAGTCCTCAAGCATACCAATTTTTCAGGTGATCAAATGTTTTGCCCCTGTGGGTCAAAATATGCTGCTCACAAAAATCAAATGGGAAATTCCCACCCATCCCCGCTTCCCCAATTCTTGCCTACAGAATTACTAGCAGTCGCTCCAGCTCACAAAACACACATTTCCTTCCATCTCCTATGAGTACATTTATCACTGCTATTCCAGTTTTGCAAGGATATGTGAGTCATAGTCTCTTTACCAGGGTTGGTTTTCGTACTAGGGTTAGACTACTTTTACTCCTTTTGGGGTTGTATCCTGATTATGAAAATATGAAAGTGAAAATGGGTGCCCACTTTACATTGCATCACAGGTTAAGGTATGGAGAGCTATCAGGCAGGACTTCCCTCCTCCACCCCCATTTCCCCTAGAGCTTTATTACCTGTGCCAGCAGGAGCAGTGCTTTGCCCACCACCAACATCTGTCTTTCTCAGACTGCCTTACAAAATGCCATGTAGGGGTGCAGTGCATTGTGGGGGGAAAAACTTTGTTCATGCCACCATGATAAATCTTTCCCCTGAAATCATTTAAGAGGAGGCTCTATCCAAAGTTGGTTAGTGGAGTAACTAGCCAGTTTGCCACCCATATCTGAGGATGGCAGATTGGGGGCATCCATTTTAACTCAATATGAATTCACCGGCCATCAAAATCTGTGATTGCCCCCTTTTCCCCACTCTTTTTTTTATGAGGAATCACTGAAATCACTGCATTTCGTTAAAAAGTTTTTTCGTTAAAAAGTTTTTGTGGTGAATTATCTGATAAAAATTTATTTAGAGCACCAGTTTAGTCTGAAGAGGTAACAATGTCAAGGGGATTTTTTTTCTGTGAAGTTTCCTGAAACCTCCAGGTGGTAGGATCTGAAGGAATGGATTCAAATTATAAGAAAAGAAATTTAGACTAAACTTTAAGAAGAACTTATTGACAGTAAGAACTATTTGACAGTGGAATAAACTCTCTTGAAAAGTGATGGAGTCCTCTTCACAGGAGGTTTTCAAACAGAGGTTGAATTGTCATCTATCCAGGATGCTTCCTCTGTGAATTTCCTGCTTTGGCAGGGGGCAGGACTCATTGACTCTTGGCGTTCTTTCAAGCTCTACAGTTTTATTAGTGTTCTGTTTTCAGGCTTGGCTTATTTTGGTCAATATGGGCGACTGGCTTTTCTCCAACCAGTTTTGTGGGGTTTTAATTAATGATTTGTTTCATTACATTTTAATATTTAGAGGGAAAAAAACATGCTGTTTTGCTATAAGGAAAGGGAAAAAGAAAATAAAGAAAAGAAACTAATAATTTGATGTTATTTCCCTTTTCTGTGTGAGCACAAAATCAGGGGTAGCTAAAGGTAACAATTTTGAGAAGGAAGGCAATATAACAGGCTGAATCTGCAAAGTGGAAGCTTCTAACTAAATAGGACCTACTTCCAAGCAGACAATGTCTAAGGATCTGGCTGAGGAAAAGAGCACTGCAAGAGAATGGGGTACCAGTGCTTGCACTGAACCTGTATTTCTACTTCCAACTGAATGAGGGGAAGAATACTTTAACACAGTGGTTCTTAACCTTGGGTGACTCTGGTGTTTTTGAACTGCAACTCCCAGAAACCCCAGCCAGCACAGCTGATGCTGAAGGCTTCTGGGAGTTGCAGTCCAAAAACAGTTAAGTTAACATTTCTAGATATTACTTTAACATTTCTAGATGGATCTAATGTGGAAGTGATCTTCATACTGTTTTAGCAGACATTTTCCTCAGGATATTATTGATACCAAATCCCAGGATCCGAACAATGCCATATTATTTTATAGCTGTGTTAGTTTATCTCTAAACTTTAAGAAGCCAGTAGGAGAAGAGAGTCTCTGAGCATTTCTGGAGGGCACTCCTTCACTACTGAGTCTGCACATCCCTCATGCAGTTTTGGTATCAACGCTCAGCTTTCCTTTTACAGCATGTCTTTTGATCAACAACAAGCTCAACTGCCTTTGTATCAAAGACTTGTAAAGATATGGAACAGGAAGATGTAACATGTCAGTGTCTAAGAACACCATTCCCCAGCTAGGCAGTCCCCAGGTGTAGGGATTATAACTTCCATTGACCCCAGCCAGTTTAGCCATGCATGAGAGCTATACTCCCCACACCAGGAGGGCACAAAGTTGCAGAACATTACCATAGAACATTTATAAAGTGAATATATGCAAACCCTTTATTTTGCCTATACTGATTTTTTTTCACTCAAAGTTTTCCATTACTTATCCATCAATGTCCCATAAAGACTATTTTTTGCAGTTCACTAAATTACACTTCTAGCTTCTGTTAAGAACATGTAAGTTCCCTGTATAAATAATTAGCTGTATGATAAATTAGCATAATGATAATGTATTCATATTTGTACAGTTGGAAATAAGGTATTTAGTCTCAAAGCAGTTATAAATACGCAAAACTACTGTGAATTCTGCCTGTTGCTGTAATTTCCATCAGCTTAATTAACACAGGTGGTATTCTGTACTGCTTTCTTATGTGTGAAATACAGCTAACATGCTGTGCTAATTTTTAGTTTGGCAAAGAAAGACTATGAGCCCAAGTTGTTGTTGTTACATGCTGTGAAGTCACCTTAGGCTTATGGCAACTCTATGTATGCGTGACCTCTAACATATCCTGTCCCCGACAGCCCTGTTCAGTTTAAGACTGTGACTTCCTTTGTGGAGCTAATTCATCTTATATTTGGACTTACTCTTTTCCTGCTGCCTTCAACTTTTCCTGGCATTATTGCCTTTTCTAACAAGCCTTGCCTTCTCGTGCTGTGCCCAAGCTATAAAATCCTCAGTTTTATCATCTTTGCACCCAGAAAAAGTTCAGACTTGATTTGATCTAGGATCCTTTTGTTCATCTTTTCGGCAATTGTGGTTATCCACAAAATTCTCCTCTAGCATCATATTTCAAATGACTCACCCCCCCCCCCCGTCATTTCAGTCTAACCTCCTCCGTATAGCATTTCATGCTTATAAACATGCACTAATGGTTCGGATGCTCCCTTGCTTCGACAATCCCAGGCCTCTGAGGTTCTCTTAACAGTGAGAACAGCACATCATTGTTTACAAAAGTAGTAATATTGTTCATTTTTATCATTTATGCTGCAGGAAAACTGAAGGATGATCTGTGAGAAGTAACATCAACACAGAGTCATATTTCTGTTATAACTGCTATTTATGTAGCATTGCCAAAGTGGGAATTTCATTAAAAAGAACTGGGAAATGAGTTATTCGACTGTAAATCAAAATGCAGACTCAGTGGTGTGGAGCATATAATGATGACTAGTTAATTTTTTGTTAAAAACTCATTTTATTCCTAGTTTGTGCATATCAGCATACCAATACCTAAATAAGTGCTGTAGGGAGAAAGGACAATGGATTTGTAAACAAAAATACTTCTATTTATTTATTTAATGGCTGAAATGCTATTGCACATTTATACAAATGGCATAACTTTATATGTGAATTGCCATAATTTATAAAATCTCTGTAGAACGCATCTGTTACACACTAAGTTGCCTGACTGAACAACAAATAATGTTCATGGAGATTTCTTAAATTATGTCAGTTTGCTTACAGACATTGCACCATTTGCAATGCCTGACAGGATTTCAGCCATTATTTGTGCTGTAACAAGAAAAAGAAATGCACAATTATAAGACTGAAATTTATAAATGTGTGATTATGATTGAAAGAGTGACTAGTGGTTTCAGTGCTTGCAGCTGACCCAAGCACTATTAAAGCATAGAGTGGTCAATCTGACCAGATGAGCGGGATATAAATCAAATTAATAATATTAAT